TTCAGGTGGGAAACTCTTAGAAGATGGCACGCTGGCTTCATCTCTGTCCCCTCAGCCTGACACGCAGCAGGCATCCAGAGACCCTTCCTGAGAATGAATGGCAGGCCAGCTGCTCTGTGGCACAAGCACATGAAGGTGGGTACCTAGAGGCCCATGAGCAAACCAAACACCTTCTAAAGGAAGGCAATTCCAGGAGCTACAGCAGGGGAACCAGTGAGTGACAGAAACCAGTTCTAAAGCAAAGACGGTGACCCACATCTGCAGAGGTCTGAGGTCTGATGTCAGCTTTTAAAAAGGAGAATCTGGGGCTGGAGAGGTGGCTCAGTGGTTCTAAGTGCTTACTGTTCTTACAGAGGACCCGGGTCTGGCTCCCAGCACCCACAGGATACAGCTCGCAATCACCTGGCCCCACAGACACAGACACTTGTGTCCATGCGGTACACAAATAGACAAACACACACATATACACACAACTTTCAAGACTTCCTTTTTAAAAAGAGCTGACAGAAAACATCAAGGCCTGGGGATTTGGCTCAGCAGCAGAGCACCTGCCTAATGTTCCCAAGGCCCTTGTTTCCATACCCATCAAAACAAACAAACAAACTGGGCCTGGAGAGATGTCTCAGAGGTTAAGAGCACCGGCTGCTCTTCCAGAGGTCCTGAGTTCAATTCCCAGCAACCACATGGTGGCTCCCTCTTCTGGCCTGCAGGCATACATGCAAGCAGAACACTGTATACATACTTAAAAAAAAATTTGAAAACCAAATATATACATTTGGTTGTCCTGGAGCTCACTATATAGACCATACTGACTTTGAACTCACAAAGATTCACTTGCCTCTGCCTCCTGAGTGCTGGAGTTCAGGTTTATGCCACCACGCCTACTCTAGGAATAATTTTTGAAAAGATGTATAAAGTGAATGTATGGTCAGTGTGCCTCATTGGCTTTCTCTCAGTCCTTTTTTAAGACAGGGTCTCAGCTGGGCGTTGGTGGCGCATGCCTTTAATCCCAGCACTCGGGAGG